CAGCTGGTCAATAGTTCTTTCTCATCATTGATGCTTCTATCTCTCTCTCCCTCTCTCCCTTCCTCCCTAAAATCACTACAATTTTTTAAAAGTTTTAATTTTATGTATTACAACTCCTTTTGAATTAGGCATCAAAGTAACTTTTCCTAAAGTCAGAGGTGTTGGCATCATCCCTTCATTAGTTATTTTTATTTTTAAGTGATATTTAATGGCAGACCCTCATCATCTTGTCATTCTCCTTCCTGCCCAGAAGCAGTGCTGTGTTTGCCTAGACCTAGAGCAAGCTGACATATACCAAGTGGAAGGGGAAGGAATCTTTAGTGTAGGCAAGAGTTTGTTTAAGAATCTTTGGACCTTAGTAGTCACACTTTCCATATCATTGCTTCAGAGGAGTGTATTCAGTAATGGGGTTGGTGCAAATTACAATGTCAGGGAAGGATTTCCAGAAAAACATTCAGCTGAGAAAAATAAAGATACCAATTAGGAACAGTAATGTACTATTACTATATACTCTCTCTTGCAACCGGAGGTCTAAAGGGGATGCTGGACTAATTCCTGTTAACACACAGGGCTTGAACATATTATACCCTTTCCCTTATCTCCAACCCCAAAGACACTGACTCAGCATCTGGCCTGGGGCCAGAGAAGCATATCCTGCATTCAGAGTGTGCAACAATGTTCAGTACAATTATGACATAATGGCCCCAAAGCTGGGCCTGAAAGCCAAGAAAACCTGAATAATGTGGTTGGGCTATATCATACATGAGGGCTTAATAGAGTTTAAAAACCAATTTGAAAATTTCTTCATTCCATAAAGATAGCATTAAAACGGGGGTAAAATCATTCTAGTTCAAGGGATGAGAACAAAGTGCATAAGGAATGATGCAGACTCCTTCCCACATTATCCTTCTTAACCAAAGTGACCCATTCCCTTTGAAGATATCTCTGCCACTGAATACTGACCCAGAAAGAAGGCCATTTCCTTAAAACATCTCAGTCTTATTTGTACCTAGCTAGTAATGCCAGTTTCTTTGCTGTTTAAAAAGCACACAATCCTATTTCAAAAAACAACTGTTTGTCATTCAGAATCTGTCCATTCAGGCAATGTCTTCCATTCATCACTGATACTCCATTTCTAATTCATCTTGCCCAAGAGGCAAAGTTATTCTCATGACCACACAAGACCTGAAAGATTCTCCATTTATTTTTAGCTATTTTGTAGTAAAAGACTTTGGGACATTTTAATCACTAACTCTAACATTTTCTTGTACGTGTGATAGCAACAATACGTAGGCCTGTGAAGAATAGTGGTTAATCTGAATGTTGGAAACCAAGCATTTTTGAGGTCAGGCCCTAGCAACCCTCATTTACATGGATTCTAATCCTCTGAATTCTATTCTGTTACTTAACAGCTAACACTGATAAAATATTTTGGAATTAGGAAGTGACTTTTGCTTTATGGATAAAGAAGCTAATGTTTAACCAAAGCCTTCCAGACTACATTTGTTTGTTCATTTCTCTATATTTTCTCCTTGAACAATGGCCTATTTTTATACATAATGAGACCAATATACAATTTTCAGAATTAAAAGGGATCTCCAAGTTCAACCCCTTTTCTTTAAAAACAAATCTCAAAAAGCTTTATATATTAATCCTTAGAGTATACCAAATAACAGATACCACATTTGTTTAAGCCTAATTTAAGGATGGAGAAAAATGAGGGAAATCTCAGCTTTGGATGGCAGAAGTCCTTTACTGTAGGGATGAGGCTCTAATGTCTAAGTCTACAAACATTCAGATTAGCTTTATTTTTAGAGCTGGAGAAACAAAGCTGAATTTTGCTCCCCCCCCCCTCCCTCAGTTTTATGTCCTAAGCTGCCTACTGAATTTCTATTAAATAACAGTATCCTTTCTCTTGGTTGACTGGAAGAACCACGTTTTTAAAAAAAATCAAATAATTCAATCGCATGTTCCTCCTGACATTTCCCCATTATTTCATTAACATGAAAAGAACAGGAATAATGAGAGGAAGTTCACTTATTTCCAGTAGTAACATTCTCATTTCTGCTGCCATTTCATTGGTAAAAAAAAGAAGCAACCAATGCCACATGCCTGCCCAATTACAACACAAAAAGTTGATTTTGAACTCCTTCAGAATGTTAGTAAAGTAGAAAAGATGATTGTGGCTTTCCTTCAATGTTATTTGGGCAACCCAGACTTAAAATAGTCACCATAGATAGGTCTTCTATCCTTAAGGCAGGACCAAACCAAGATATGAGTGCCCTAGGTAAGCTAAAAATTTGGTATATCTAAAAATGGATACTATTCAAATATTCATTCACTTGACAGGCATTTGAGTGAGGAGTTGAGCATGGCAGGACTGGAGGGAAGGAGGGTGGAGACAGGGCTGGTGAACCCTTTCAGCTTGCACATTCCATTCAAAACAAGAGGACCTGCAACGGACAGGCCAGATCCCCCCGGAAGGCAATTTGGTGACCATATGTATGGATTCTCAAATATGCCTTTCCCCATTCCAGGCTGGTTATTAAGTTATTAATAACTGCAGCATTTATAGCTGAATCTAGCAACCCCTTAAAAAGTTATTGTTTTATATTCTTTTCTCTACCTTGCTGCATTCCCAATGATGTTTTCACACTATCTTTTTATTTCAGTAGCATACAGTGAGTGGCTGCAATTGCCTGGCACTGTGCCAGGTACTATAATAGAACTATAAAAATGGTTAGGATACTTTCCATGCCCTCAAGGAACTCACACCTTAGGCAGGGAAAAGTTTCACAAATAATACAATACTGCAGTGATGAAGCCTATAGCAGCCAAAATGGTTGCTACTATGTATTATTGGTGAAATGCTCTGAAATCCTTGGAGATGGATACTTTCTTAAAATAGAAGGTATTCTGAGTTTTGCCTCTATCTCTGGAAACCTTATTTTGGGTGGGAATTGAAATAAAAAGAGAATAAGTAACGTTTCTATGCCTCCATTTCCCTATGGCTATCACTGGGATAGGGAATAAGAGATATGGGATAATACCTATGAGAAACTTAGCCAAAACCTTTTATTTTGCATATTCTTTCTCAAATGATTTTGTTCCTCAAACATGTTAACTAGAGGAAAAATAAAGTAAGCTCACTATTCCCTGCTACCTGTATAGCTACACATCTCTGGATCCAGATGGTTTCTCCCCCTCAAAATAATTGCAAACAATATTAAAGCTGCATGCAGGAACTATTCCAGCTGGCTTTTGGCTTCCTCTGATGTACACTCCTTGAATAAAGCAGCGGCAAGATTAGATTTAAAATAAGGAACATAAAAAACCTTACTCTCTGTACCACAGCACCATCATGTTAACATGTGGAACCTGGAGCCCTAGCATTAGAGTATAAGCCAGCTAAAGTATGCACACATTATGAAATAAAAATTTTAATAATAAAAAAATAACTTATTTTTTGAAGGCATATCTCCACATTGCCTCTGGGTACTTAAGAGTACAATAGAGGCAGGCATCTGGAATAAAATAGAAATACAGTCCAATAAACCCCTAAGCTGGAAAATCCTCATTTCTATTACCTGCCTTGCCATCAATCCATCTAAATAAAACCACATAGCCACATTTTCCTCTATTGAAGGAGACAAAAAATATTGATCCTTCCTTGGAAGGCTACTACTGACCACAGGAAGCATGAAGAAAGGAATCTACCTATCTAAAGTACCTAACCCACCAATCTTAATGTCCATGACAGAACCAATTTTAATTTTCATGACAGGTTCCAGGCAATTCCTTACTCCAATACTGCTATAATCATTCACTATTTCCAGGGTATACCTCTTTCCCCAAGTGTTTTAAATCTCAATGTATACAGCTTCAAATACTGGTAGAGAGCTTCATATGCATTTTCATAAGCTATTCCTCAGATAATTACTAAGTGAGACGAATGTGGCTTCTGAGAGCCACCTCAACTTGCAGTGTCATGCACACTTGAGACATGCTCTAGTGGCTGTGTAGTTAAAGAAGCCCTGCTTATGTTAGTAAATGTGTTAAAAGGGTTGAGATATGACAGATCCTAGACACTATCCCTACCCCAAAGGGCCATACTGTGAATTTTTAAAAAAGTGTTCTAAAATATGAAATACTGTATAGAACTTTCTATTGAGAAACAAAAATAATAAAGATAAACATTATAAAAGAAACAAGAAAAAAGATCACTCAGGTAAAAAAAAAACAACAACAAAAAACCCCCCAACTCATTGTTTTTGTTAAAGATAAACTTAGAAACAGACATTTGCCTTTTCGTGTTAGTAATAATGTAGATGGAACTTTTCCACTTCTGGACTTACTAGAAAATTGCACGAGCTGGTATTTGTCGGGGGTAACAGACAAGGCTAAGTATTTGTTGAGAATTGTATAGTCTCTGACTTATCTCACTGCCCAGCACGCAAAGGGCTGCGTTTGCCCAATAAAGCAGCGAGGAAGTCCAGAGAGGATAGCATCTTTCAACCCTTTCACCCCCAATTAAAGGTCAGCATGGTTGCTCAAAAATATTTACTTAATTCAAGAGTCCTCTCAGCAGCCTGCCCACTGAGATGATACTGCCATTTCACAGAAGTTAATTAAACAAAGGACGGGTCATTGGTGAATCACTGTAATATAGCACGAAGCTGAAATGTTTCCTGCTTTCTCTTAAAAAGCTGCCTTTTCCTGCCCGTTATTTTGTCCACTTCCCAGAGCGCCAACTCGCGCGCACGCACACACACACACACACACACACACACACACACACACACACACACGTTTACAACCCCTGCAACCCCTCTGGTGGTTCATGGGTTTATGGCTCCCGGTTTAATGAAAGTTTCTCCTAAAACGCTGGAAATTGGCCGTGCGCGGCACAGCCGGGGGCTCTTTGCGCCCCTCTCCCGCCCGCGGCAGGCTCAGTGCAGCGGCCCGCAGGGCCCACCTCTGTTGGGGTCACCGGTACCCACCTGAGCCGCCGCTTCCGCCTGTGTCACCGCTTCCGTCCTGCGCCCCGCACTTCCGCCCGCCGGAGCGACCCAGCGCCTACTGGGCGCCCCGCACTTCCGCTGGGCCCGCCTTCCCCTAGGCTGGTGTGTGGATCTCAGATCTTAGCAGACCGCCTCTTGGAAGGGTGGCCACGCCTGCCTGCCCTTACACTTGAAAAGAGCAAGAGAAAAACCAAATCTAGCAGAACTGCTAATAAACAGGGGAGTGGGAAAGGAGGGGGACACGGAAAATGACCCAGAGTGTTTGGGGACTACTTAATCACAAAAGTCAGTAGCCAACTTTTTGAAAATATGCAGTTCATTCCATTTTATCCCCTTTCCTACATTTGTTCATTCGTTTGTTCTTTCGTTTGTTCATTCATTCATTCATTCATTCATTCATTGTTACTGTTCTCCTCTGGTCTGGACTGAGCTAGGTTATGAAGGAAACTGGCAGCTGTACTCTCAGCAAACTCTCCATAATGAACTTTTGCAGAAGGCCAAAAGGCATATGAAAAAGGGCTCAAAGTCACTAATCATCAGAGAGATGCAAATCAAAACTCAATGAGGTACCATCTCACGCCTGTCAGAATAGCTACTATCAACAAAGGACAAGTGTTGGCTAGGATGTGGAGAAAAGGGAACACTTGTGCACTGGTGGTGGAAATGCAGACTGGTGCAGCCTCTGTGGAAAACAGTTTGAAGTTTCCACAAAAAATTAAAAATGGAACTACCATTCTACCCAGTGATCCCACTTCTACGAATATATCCCAAGAAATCAGACACCCATCAGAAAGAATATATGCACCCCTATGTTCATAGCATCACAATTTACAATAGCTAAGATTTAGAAACAGCCTAAGTGCCCATCAGCAGATGAGTGAATTAAAATCTGTGGTACATCTATACAATGGAATACTATACAGCTGTAAAAGAGAAATAACTCTTACCATTTCCAATAGCATGGATGGATCTGTAGAGCATTATGCTAAGCAAAATAAGCTAGTCGAAGAAAGATAAGTATCACATGATCTCACTCATATGTGGAATCTAATGAAGAACATTACCTAATAAACAAAAATAGACTCAGAGACATAGAAACATCCAACAGACTGTCAAATCTCAGAGGGAAGGAAGGGGATAGTGGAGTGGAGGAGAGATCAACCAATGAGCTCATGCTTATGCGCATAACCCATAGACACAGACAGTGGGGTGGTGAAGAAGTTGGGGTGGGAGAAGGCAATGGGGGAAAAAGAGGGATATATGTAATACTTTCAACAATAAAGATTTATTTTTAAAAATCTGTAGGCAAGTCAGACTTTAGGAAATGATCCTTAAAATAGGTTATATTCAGTGAATGTAATGCTTTAAAAGGGAAGGAATGTGGACCTATGAAAAAATATGAATGTGATGTAGTTAAAGAGGTAGCCTTTGAAGAGGGATGTATTATACCAGGTTAGGCAGGGACAGGGCTCTCCAGGCCGAGGGAAGGTTAGAATTGGAGGGAGCCCGGCATAGGCAATGCACAGAAGACTGACTAATAAGACTGGCAGCAACATAGAGGGAGTGGAAAGGAAGTGAAAAAGGCTAAGAGACTGGGCAGGAGTCAGGTGTTACAGGGCTTTTTGGAGTTTTGTTTTACTCTGTTTGTGTTTGTATGTGGGAAGGGGGTTGAACTGATTGCCTTTCTGTTAGGGGCAAAAATAGAATATTGGAGACCAGCTATAGTTATAGGAAACATTAATCATGCTCTGTTTACTGTGATTGCCTTGTTCTGGTTAAAGAAAGGACATTCTAACCCGGCTGGGAGTTGTACCCACCTAGGACGTGGGAGTCAACCTTGGACCTGGCAGTCAATCTTGGAATTTGGTCCATTCTCAATTAAGAACTGCCTATTATGGAAAGATTAACAACTTTGTTTTCCAAACAATGGATCCCACCCCAGCCCGAATTGCCTACTTTCCCATGCCTATAATTCCTACTTACCCATGTAATCTTTTTCTTACCCAATATAAGCAGCAGGCTGATGGGTGGTTGCAGAACAAATTTTTGTGGATGACTTGCTCCTCTCTCATAATACCAGCGTTATTGGAATAAACACTCATATATGATTCAGCCCTGTCTCTGCTTAATTGGCTCTAGAACTGACAGGCACAACAGACCCATTGGTTGACCAGTTACGTTTCCACTCTGAAGGATTCTCAACTTTTGAGAAGGCAATGGGGTAGGTGAGAGCAGAGTAAAAGCAGGGAAGGCACGAGGCAGCTAAGTAGCCAGGGTGTAGGTGTGGTGGCTTGAATGGCAATGCTACAAATAGTGAGAAAATGATGAATAATAAGAGTAATATTCAAAGTTAACATTTATTGATTGATCACCAACAGTTTTACATTCCTTAACTTGATAATCTGGAGAACAATTCTATTAAGTATTCTTAGTACCATTTTACAGATGAAGAAATGGAAGCTTAATAACTTGCCCTGTTCTCAGAGCTAGGAAATGCCAGAGTTAGGATTCCATTTCATGCTATTTGATGCCAGTATCCATGAGTTTACCACTATACACTTAATATATATTTTCAGTGATTAAAAAAAAAAAGAGACACAAACAAACCAAGGTCAGAAGTGAATCTCCTAAACAAACCACATTGTTTAAGTGACATTGTTAGAGGACACATCTAGAAAGCAGAGTTTTCAAATTCTTACTTTATCACTTTGGCATTTGCTGATAGCAAAAGAGGGGATTTTGTGACCAGCAACAGACTACTTGCAGCTATTTTTCAGTTGATACACTTTGATAAGAACTAATCTTTCAGGGGTGGAAAAAGTCAGTCTAAGTTCACTCCACTTAACAGTTGCTGATATAATATTTGTAAGGAAATTTATCTTGGGTCTAGTCCTAAACATCTTGGTGGTGCATGTATAACTAACATGTTCTGGAGTAAAGAAAGGTGTCCTAGAAATGCAACTTCATGTCAGCTTCCAGATCTCATTGCTTGTTCAAAAACAAAATAAATTGGATTTGTGAAACCTGATTTCATCCACTGAAGGAGAAGGATGACTTCACCAAAGGCCAACAGTGAAGGCTTTTAGCATTGGTTATGGGTAACATTTCTCCAGGGAGCCAAACATACAGAAATTTTTAGAATTTGAAATTAATTAGTAAGTTTGGAGATAGCAGAAGACTTAGTATGTCCACATAATAGTTTTAGTTGAGGGCTAAAGTCCATGAAATGGCCTGGAATTCACTGTAGTCAGTACCCAAGCACTTTGGGAGTGTTTGGCTGAATGCCAGGAGCCCAGAGGACCAGTTTAGCCTGTAGGTATGGGCTCACAGTTCTTGGCATATGAGCTGTGCTTGGGAAGGTAGCTTAGAGTCTGACAAGGAAAAATTGTCTCAAAATAAAAACAAAAAATGCCCCCCCCCCAAAAAAAAATGGAAAACTGACAAAGCAAACTTAACATTTATTAAATGGTCACAGGATATAATACTGAGTCAACGTCATTCATTGCTGGCTTTAGTGTTCATAACAATTTCATTAAATTTGAAAACAGTTTTTAAGTGAGATGCTCTTCTTGAGAGAGAGTTTCTAAATATATATGACGAGTGTTGAGAAATCACAGCATATTTTAAATTAGTCACTTTAGTCAAATAATTTCATAAGCAAAATTATAAAATTCTCTATTAGTAAACTATTAAATATGGAATATGTGCACATTTTAACATGTAACAAGTGATGTAAAGGTCTTAGTGTAGTGATGAGGCTTGTACAGCTGGTTCACTGAAGGATGCTTGTCATAGGCATTTGACCAGTCCTCCAGGTCTGGTCTCCAATCCCAAACTAACCCTGGGAACCTGGATAGGATTGGTGCAAGGATCTCTGTGTTTTGGCATGTCAGTTTAGAACTCACCTGGGTTGAATTTTTCTCTTAGATCTCCCGCCCTGCCAGCTCTGAGACTGAAGAATGTTCTATAGAAAGCCTGCTGGTCACAGTCTGGCCTGCAGCTCCGGAGATAACTCCAAGGGTACTTTAGAGGACACATTGCCTGTTCTTCCAGAGGTGACCTGGAGCCAGGCCTCCCCGACCTAAGAGCTAGATGTATGTTGTGGAGGAAGGCATCTTCACTCCAACCCCCCGGCTTTACTTCTGAGAAAGCAGGAGTAAAGAAATTGCCTTTTTTCCCCTGATGTCAGTGCTTCCCCTTGAGAATACCTTAGAAAAATATTGTATGTCCTGACAAGTGGTGACTGTCTTGCCAACCCTATTTTACAGTAACCTGGCTCTAGGCTGCCATTCAAAATATATGCTTTCTGAACTTTGACTAGGAGGGACAGTCTCAGTAATTGCCACAATTGGGTGATGTTACCATGATAATGGAGGTATTTAGAAACCTGGTAAGTTTTATTCCTGGTCCTTATAGTGAGGTCCTTATTTATTTGTCTCTGGAGTGTCTAATCTCCAGTACTGCCAACTCACAGGAAATGATCTGTAAGGGCCAGATATTGTGTTATGTTTAAGGTCATAAAGAAAAATAGTGGCAACCTCCCAAAAAAAAGAGACAGGCTTCTGAGTCTGGATGTGTTGGGTCAGCAGAGTCACTGTTGACTCCCCCAGGCCAAGCATTACAGGAAACAGAATGATAAGCCTGTCTAACCAGAGAATGGACTTCAGAAGCCTGATTTCTATATTCCCCTTGACATTTAAAAAACTCTGCTCTTGTGTCAGACATTCAGAGAACAGTAAAGAAAAATTTAAGAGGAGAAAAATGTTTATTTGTAGTAAGGCTTGCTCAGTAATCCACTTATGCCATTTATATTAGTTAAAGAACTTTTCACGTAAACAACATCCCATGTAAACACCATTATTTATGTAGTATAAGAGCCAAATAAAAATGCTAAAAAAAATAAAAGTAATTGTAGAATAAATTAGTATAGCTTGAGTGCACATACATTATACAGAGGATGTAGAGTTTTACATTTTATTAAAGGAAGTGGATTTGTGGTTTTCTATTGTTTGGGCTACTAGGAAGGAACCAAAAGAAATGACACCTAAAAAATGGATACCAAAGCTGTTCAAGTTTAAACCAATACTGGCAATGAAATTACTGTTTTCCCA